GGGGGTTCGTACGCACATCACCATCTCACACACACGATGTTGTACCCTGTCTTCAACACGTCGGAAAGTATGCCTAGACGACCGCCTACCGATAGACAGCCCCCGCAACTCTATGGAGACCAGCGTACCCAGCCCTTCCAAATAGCGCAGAGCATTGTTCTTCAATGAATCTTTTTCTCATCCTGGTACTTTCTGGGAGTAACGACTCGTTTACAGCTGGCTTTCTTGGTGGCCTCACTCATTGTTGACAATGATATCGCCGATCGTTCAGTGGTAGAAATGGTGCTAAATCGTCTACAAGCCGCTCAGCAACGAGAAATGTTCGTCACTCTCCTTTCGTTCTGTCGGTGAGTAACCGTTTTTTATGGCTGCTAACTGACAACACCCTTCCTGAACAAGACCGTTTTGTTGACGATTGGATTCTGGGGACAAATGCTCTCTGTGTCGTGGCACCCCATCACGGTGTATGTAATCTGGCTTCCATAAATGTCGTTTCCTGATAACCCTAGAGACGGTAATGTCACCAAGACCGTCTCATGTTTTTTTTCAGCGTTTTTCTTCTGGAAATTAGATTTTTTCATTGCAGCGGCGTGTCATCTTTTTCTTCCCTCTTTGGAATTTTCTCTTTCAGACAGGTGAAGAAACTTCACCGAGTTAAGAATCTCGCCATGTTGTGGGCAAGGGCAGCCGATTGGTCACTTGGCAGTATAGGTGTGCACGTTTGACTTGTACTTTTTACTTTTTATTTTCTTATTTAGCTCACAAATGGTTTCAGAACACGTCAATAAAGAACTGAGAGACGAATTCGAACGTTGGTTCTATTTCGCCATCTCGTGTCCCGTAGAAGGAGGACGTGCTTTCGATTCCATACGAAATGCACTACGAGCACGTAATTATATCTTGGCCGCTCACCTAATCTCCGTCGTTGCCTCTTTTGCCCAGGTAAGTAGCACTGAGCTTTGCTGATTCTTACAACAGCAACAAAGACAAGGAGTACTACAGTCTGACTTGCTATGGATGATGGGCGCGTCAGGGGGATAGGTTTGGCGCGGCGCCAGCCCTTTCTCCACCAACTATTGAAGAGGGCGAGCGACAACAATTGGTGGAAAATTCGGTTGGTGCCGCGCCAATCCCAGCCCCTGACATCCCAACGTCCGCAGCAAAACGACTATATGGGTATGTACTTCAGGCGCAGCTGCAATTTCCACTTCCCGATCTCCATGATTTATTGGTAATTGATATCTCCAATCGTGCTATAGGCTAGTTCAGAAATCGTCGCCATAGAGAACTGTCATCAGGAATGCCTGAGTCACAGAACTTGTGCTTCGATGGGCCACTGAAGCGCCGCAAATGACTGCCAGAGCAAGATAAACATTCACTCAGCCCTGATTCTTTCTATCCGAGTCCCCATTTGAATAGAATGAGTGTGATTGTGATTCACCCCGGTATTTTTATCTATTTTCACGTACCTCAACAAACTACTGCTTTACTATATAGTCCACTTCAAACAGATGTACCGGTAAGAAAGAGGCTACTGTATTGTGAAAGGCAGTTTATAATCATTGTTATATTACTTCGAAATTTAATAAACAATTGTTTATGGTGTTGACCGCATCGTCCAGCTCATCTTGATGACCTTTGTCTGGGAAGAATAAGCAATCGCACCTTTTGACAGTCCGTCGCTAACGTTCCGGGAATCACAACGGAGGGGAGGATACATATTTACTGAGAATTTTCGTATAGTTAGCTTTCCCTATGACCGCGCTGCTAACCTCACACGGACAGTTGCAATGAGGAGCGGAGAGAGTCGTATTTGTCGTCTTGGGAGAAAAGCGGCCATTTTTGTTTGCGAATTGCCGCCTGAAAAGTAATGTTTAAGTCAGCATGACAGCAAGAACTTCGGGGGGGGGGGGGAAAGGAAAGAACCAACACCCCATCTGAGTCCCAAAGTGTATACCTCGGCGTGCAGCAAATTTTTACTAAAGTACTACAAGTTTGCTGTAGCGTGACTCGGAACAGGGTAGAGCATCGTGATGTATGAAATGGAGCTGCAGGTACGACCCCCTCCTTGCCCAACACTATCTACCAATTTCCCACATTTTCCAGTTTTTCACCCAAAGATTTTTCTGTGAATGCTTAAGTAAGAAGCCATGACCCGTTAAGCGAGAAGGTAAAAGCGCCCCTGTGGCGTAACGGATAGCGCACATTCGCAGACCCGGAAAGCGTGATTCGGTTCGACTCCCGCCTGGGGCACGACTTTTGCCCACAACTCAGCATTCTTGTGATAACATTCGGAACGCGTACTGCGGCGTTAAACAGCAGTTATCATAACAAAACAGCTTCAAAGATTTTCCGTTAAGCAGGGGTGGGGGTGTGTATATAGCCAATGTGAAACGGGCACACAGTACACATGAAACAGGAAAAATCACGCGAAAAAGTCACAACCAGGAAAATTTTCCGCAACGCAGCAACTGCTCAGCTAAGCCACCCCTCCCCAGGAAAAATACGATCCCCTATGTGTCACACAACCGATATTGACCCTGACTGGAACATATAGCCGTTTGGGCAGAAGAATGCATTTCTCGAAGAACTTTCCTCAAGCAACAGAAGTCGTCAGGACGAAACTTGCACTTCCTGGAGGATTGGCATCTTCTCCAAAAATGGAAGTTTTTCTCAGACCAACCTTCAAAAGGCCTCTGGAGCTCTAACAAAGAGTCCCACTCATCTACAGTTTGATTCCAGTTTCTTTTAGCACATTGTGAGCGTAGGAGAGTGTGAAAATGTTCCATTCCTATCCTAGGAACAGGCGAAGGAAGCGAAAGTTTCTTTCTGGAACAAACGCAGAAGTGAATAAAGAAGTTCAGTTTATAAATAGTCTGAAACAAGCGTGAAAATTTTGATATTGTGGCCAAAGAGTTTTGGGGTGCAAGACTTGATTGAAATTGGCCTGACGTTTCGACGGGATCGCGTCCTCAAGTAAAGTAATAATAAAAAAACTTGAGAGAACTGAAACTTCAGAGGCGGGGTTATGGTCGCCATGTTCCTATGGAGAACACTGCTTTTCGATTTTGGGGACAACTATCCACAAATAAGCAGGAGGGAAGAATGCATCACAGTAAAGCGAGAGACCATACATTAGAACAGCCCTCAAGGAAGTGACTCTGAATGAGGACCAGTCCGAAGCGGTCTTACTGCCGAATCGAGGGTGGTTTTGACGATCGAGCTGTGCTGTGAGGAGTGCCCCCCCTTTCCCCCCTGTGATGAACTGATCTCGAACTTCAGCAGGGAGCTAGAGACGTTTGGCCAAGGGGAGTCATGGAGTCATAAAGTGCGTCATTTCACGAAGGCAATCCTGAAGAAACGCGAGCCAGTGAAGTCGATCCAAAGTCTTCCACAGCGTTTTACGCGGGACTGGGTTTGGCGTGGTTCAGCCTGTTGTCCACCACTTGTGTATGCTGGCAGGCGACCACAGCTGGTGAAGAATTTTCACGGGCGCTAGCGCTCAGCCCCGTAAGAATTCTCCACCATTGTGGTCTCCTGCCAGCAGCCCCCGTAAAAACCCCTGTGTCACAGCGAACAGGACTGCATGGTGACCACCTGTGGGCTTTGCCGACAGGGGAGAATTTTGCACTTTTGTAGGTTCACTAGTTCTGGTTTACAAGTTTCATCCTGGTGGAACCTGTGAATTCTTATTAAGCTGGAGCAAGCGGAGGCTGTTAGATGGGTCGACACGTTGATGGGAAGTCGTTAAAGTGGAAAATGCCCCTCCCGTCGTCAAACAGCGCCTTACAAACGAGTAATACCTGCAGAGGAACCCTGTAACATCTTTGAAACTTCTGTAACTGCTATATTTATTGCAGATCACATCAAAATATCAAAATACATCTAACATTAGGAAAAAATTGAAAATGAAAGAAAAATTTCAAACTCGTAGCACTACCATTAGATGTTCACTAGAAACACCAAATAGCCATAATGACCCTATGTAACATTTGAGCTACCACACACAACTGCGGGAAAAATGAGATTTCCACGGGAACTAACTCTACGTTGAAAGGTAGGAGATTTCTACTGCACTCATTGAGGTTAACAGACGAATCACAGAATGCCTGCAAATCAGTTCCCTATTAGTCCTAGCACATGGGAAGTGAGGGGCAAGTGAAAATGAAATCTCGACAGTATCAATATTCAATATAGGAAATAAAGCTAACAAGCCTAACCTGTCTTGGGCGGTTTTTTCCCCACCGTGTTTGATTACAATCTGGGACAGATCCCTCCTCGAATCGTAAAAATGGGTGAGAGACAGGTCTTATACGAATGAAGGAAGGGCCAGTAAACTACTTGTCAAATTGATCGTTGTTTTACTAATGCCGGCTATCTTCGTAGAAAAAGGGTAACTGAGTGATCAACCAAGAGCTGCTACTGCTTTCTCGGCAGCGTCTGAGAGATTATCAGCAGTGATGATTGGAAGGCCAGATTCCTTCATGATACGGCGAGCCTCCGCCACATTTGTTCCTGGAAATAAAGGCAACATATCGAAGAAGGATAGAGGTAAATCGGTTAGTCGACTTAGAAGGACATTTTAAAAACTCCCTGTACAAAGCAGAGATTACCCTGAAACTCCTGCCTGCACAAAGAAATTGGTCGATCCAACCCTTGCTCCCAGGCTTACGGTTGAACGAAAACTCTGATTGCCACTGTTGTGCGTGAACTGGAGCGCTGCCAAGGCGACTTTTCCATCAACAAAGAGCCATCCTGAGCCCGTAACAATTGGCGGGAAGGGCTTTTCTGTTCGCAACCCAACTGACGCCCCTTCGTACGCCCTGTCGTTTGCAGAAACCATAGCTGTACATAATTCATAATGGGCGACTATGGAGCGCATAAATAAGCCCCTGACTCCAGCCATTTGGGCATTTCCCCCCTCTACACAGTGAACAGTTCTCTTACGTTTTTTTATTATTCTTTACTTGAGGACGCGTCCGTCTGGAAACCTGAGGACATTCAATCAAGTCTTGCGCCCACAAAACGCTCTTTGGCCACAATAATCAAAAATTTTCACGCTGGTTGTGAGACGTATTTATACTGAACTTCTTTATTATTCTGTGTTTGTTCCAGAAAGAACACTTTCGCTTCCTATCGCCTGTTCCTAGGATAGGAATGGAACATTTTCACACTCTCCTACGCTCACAATGTGCTAAAAGAAAACTGGAATCAAACTGTAGATGAGTGAGAGACTCTTTTGTTAGAGCTCCAGAGGCCTTTTTGAAGGCTGGGCTGAGAAAAACTTTCATTTTTGGAGAAGATGCCAATCCTCCAGGAAGGTTGCAAGTCTTCGTCTGCACGACTTCTGTTGCTTGAGTAAAGTTCTTCGGAAATGCATTCTTCTGCCCAAACGGCTATACTGCCTTCCAGTCAGGGTCAATATCGGTTGTGTGAACATAGGGGATCGTATTTTTCGCTGGGGCACGTGGTGCTTAGCTAAGAGCGTTGTGCGTTGGTCGGAAAATCTTTCCTGCGTTGTTGACTTTTCGCGTGATTTTTCCTGTTTCATGTGTACTGTGTGCCCGTTTCACATTGGCTATATACACACCCCCACCCTGCTTAACGGAAAATCTTTGAAGCTGTTTTGTTATGATAACTGCTGTTTAAGCCGACAGTACGTGACCTCCATTGTTATCACAAGAATGCTGAGTTGTGGGCAAAAGTCGTGCCCCAGGCGGGAGTCGAACCCGCACCTCACGCTTTCCGGGCGAGTGCGCTATCCGTTACGCCACCAGGGCCGCTTTACTCTCTCAGCTCAATGGATTTCATGTAATAGCCCTGCAGCACTCACATAACTTTATAGTAGAGCAGAACGCTTCATTCTCAGCTTTCTATTGGAGCAGAAGATTGCAGAAAATTCAAAAATTCACTACACTCGAAAGACGAGTGCTTATTTTAAGCAAGGAGATCTAGGAATAAGCACTTCTAAGCCATAATTATAAGAACTGAAAGAGCACTCCATCATGAAAACAATCATTTCATTAGGACTACGTCAATAACATCAGAAAACGAAAGAACACATCGTAAGCACCGCCTTCGAATCCATTTCTAGTGCAGTCAGATGGTTCTGTCAGCGATTTCCAAGTTTTACTACTTCTACCAGCATGGTTCGGCTTGGGGGGTGGCAGGCATTTTGCACTTTCGCTAGTTACCTTCGTTCGTTCAGGTTGAATAACAAGTTTCACTCTTCGGTGAGACGTGCGATCTCCAGAAAAGCTGCGAAATGGTGCGACTGACCATGAGCCATCTTGGTCAGAGGAATGTACAGGTCTTCACATAATGGCCCGCACAAGTTATGGTTAACTGGCTGCCATTCCGTGCCCCCACCAAGCCGAACTGCGCCGAAACATCACTCTAATTATTCATGGGGTATAACCATATGGAACTTTCTGCCTACTGAATTTTTTCGTCATCGTCAAATAGCACAATAAACGATGCAAATCCGATTTTGCTCACTCAAACCGAGCCAGTCGTGCGAACATGTTGATTTTTCATCATCATTTCCACACATTATACATTATTTCATCATTAGTGCATTCGTCCACTGAAGGAGCCCATTAATCCAATGGAACATTCTCTCACTTTCAAACATATTTTCCAATAGTTGTCCTCTAGCCTAAAGAGTACCCCGTCAACGCTAGGTAATTTATTTTTTTTATTTTCCAGCCGCTCAAAGAGAAGCGGCCCGTCTCAGTGCAATAAATTCGATCAGATTCCTCGGTG